AATATATATTTAATATGTATAAATACCTGAATATGTATTTACAGGTTTCTCACTCCAGTTAGGGAAGGTAGACAAGGAAATATTCTCTGAAAAAGTCTGGGTTGATCTGAACGTTTCCTGTGAATGTTTTTCAGGCTGTGATTTTGAAACATGCTAAGTTTTTGAATGCAGGTACAGTGGTACCTCTGGCACCCCCAAAACAGGAAACACTTCAGAAACTTTTTTCTTGAAGATTGGTGATCTGAAAGTGTACAGAATACAAATCTGAAGTCCCAGTAGAGTAAATGAAAGTATAGGGTTAATATTTTGCTGATAAAACCAGAAAAGATTAGTCAATATTATCTGAGTTGAAAAACAACCACAAAACAATTTTCAGTAGCTGTAACAATGACATTAATGCCTTGAAATACAAGAAGTACTTTCAATAGGAAAATTATTCCATGTAACTATGGATTTGCAGCTATAGTCGCCTCATTTGCACGTTGTAATGGATTAGCTAGCAGGTCTCACAATCGTATGATCACCCTCTGCTGCATAGGATGAAGGTAAGACCTGCTTGAGCATGCCGTAAGCATTAAATGTGGCTGGTGTGCCCTATCAGCAATTCAAGCAGACACACACTTTGAAATTTCTATACCAGTCCTTCTAAATTCTCATTTCAAGCATTGATCAGGAGCATCCTGGGTTAAAAAAAGAAAAAGGGCTCATGGTTTTAAATAGGTGGACCTGTGTTCTATCTCTGTTCATGATTTCAGTTTTAAATCATGGGTATAATCCATCCATCAGTATAGTAATAATCATTTCAGGACTTTTTGCACGGAGAGTTTGTAGATCTGATCCCCACTGATCTACAGGCCTCGGTTTTCAGTTCATCAAACTGATAGTAAACAACTTAATATTTAGGGATAAGGGGATTTTCACGTATGTCCAATTAGCTGTTTTGTAGAAAATATACAGTGGTGTAATACTGAAGGATCCATTACTTCAAGTACTTCATATGCCTTATATGAATATAAAGCCAAGAATCCAGCAGGGTCACGGGAGAAAAAGAGGCAGGTGCTTTCCTATAGGCTTTTGTCCAGGATCGTTGTAAAGCCATGAAGCTCTAGTTACTTCCCTGAGACTCTCCCATAGCTAATGTGGAAGTTTTTTCCTGATATTCACTCTGAATATAATTTTATATATGATTTGGTATAAGAGAAGCTGCTCAGACAGGAAGGTCTTTTCAGTGGTGGCCTTGAAATAAAATCCCACATTGAGTTGCACAATGGGAAAAGTGTTATGAGTGACAGACAAGAAGGATAGTATCCCTTTCTGAGAAAAAATTCCGAATCCCTGTTACTGCTTTCCAGCAAGTTCCCAGACTGTACCAAATAAATTCGACATCTTTTTTTCCATTATCTCAATTATTAGTCTCAGAATTGCTAAATACTTTACCTGGCCAGCATTCAAAATGCAGAACAGATAGCTGAAACCCAGACTTGTTTCTTCATGACTTATTAACATGAGGTAGCCTATAATCCAGGTGATTCCGAGGACTACAACTATAGAGATAGTGCCAATCATCTTTTTCATAAATTAATCCTTTTTATTCCTAGAAAAACACTCCAAAAAGTTATTAAATCTTTCACTATACGATTTAATATCTTTTGAGTTTTAAACTATTTTATTTATTCAGGGCTATAGTGCAAAGATGTGTTATTCAGATGAATTGAGAACACACACCTCCCTACATATGTTTGAGGTATCATCTGGAGAAGAAATCCAGAAAAAGAAATCTATCCAAGCTTATCAGAATAATCTGTGTTTGGAATATGTAGCTTGGATATATCTTTCTTTAACAAAAAAGTGAGGTTTACCAAGGCAACAAGAAGCATTGAAAATTAATACATTAGCTATTATGAGCTTTTTAGAGTGCTTATAACTTCAATCCAAATACGCTCAATTTTCAATATAAGAATGAGCTGCCAGTGAAGTTTGGATATTCAATTTCTCTCAAGCCTGAGAGGAGTCAGAGATAAGGTATTTTAGTTTGTGCCAACCGTGAAAATTGTACATAAAAGGAATGAAGAAATGGTGCAAAGTTTTATTGAACAGATCAATTCTGTGGGAGTAATAAAAATTAAAGCAATTCCCTTTTAAATGATAAAATGTACACTGCAGAGTTTGTGACACGCAGCTTGTGACAACATATGGAGTGTTGACGTAAAATGAGGAAGTAAATCTGCTTCGAAGCTGCTAGAGAACTGGCCTGACATTCAGATGTGCTGAGAAATTCATAATTCTCATTTGGCTGGACCAAAAAGCAGCTCTCCTTTCACTTATATTGATTTAAATCAGGGATAACCTTCATTGTTGAGTGACACTGCAACCAAAAAAAAGGGGGCAAAAGCCTGAAGTGTGTTCATTGATACACACTTGAGCAAAGTCTGACCCATTGCAATGATGGAATTCATTTTCTGACTGCTTTAAGTATACATTTCTTTAAAGCAAAAGATTTTGTCAAAAATCTGTGTTTGTGACAAGAAAGTCTGAGCTGGTGACAAGAGACCAAGGAATACATTTGCTGAAACATCTGAGGAGTCCTATGCTGGCTCACCTTGTCAAATTCTTGTTCTTTTTCCATATCACAGAGACTGTGATCTTGTTGAAGGTGATAATGTTGAACAGGAGTATGAATGCTACTGGCAAAAGGAATGACCACAACATGGGCTTTTGCATGCTGAAATGATGATTTTGATCTACTGCTGCAAGCCAGCAACTTTTAATGTAAAGAGAGGCCATTTCAAAAGATTTGTTAGACACATTATGCAGAATACAAAAAAACCCCAAAATAATATTCCACTTTTCATCCTGAAAGACCTCATAGGGCTTTCTAGGTCATGTTAACCTATCTCTGAAAGGCAACCATTCCTTGAGAACTGAGGGCTTTCAGTCATGCTTCTCTTTCTCTGGGAAATTCAAAATGATTTATCAAACAAACTGCATAGAGACATATAATAAGGTGCAATATAACTGACCAAATAGATATCTGGCCATCTTATGCAAGTTTATCTTCAGAGTATATATTATAATAGAGCTAAAGAGTAATAGGGGAGACCTAATGGACGAAGGTTGAAACAAAAACGGGGCAACTTCAGGAGGAAAGGGTTATCCTGCAATACTATTTACCTCTTTTTTTCATTGCAAAATAATCTCAAGTTGGAAGTCAACACTCCTTAAATGAGTATCATGAGACAGCCACCATGTAGAAGGGAGTTTGTGTTTACATTTCCGAAAGAAGTCTACCTTTGTTCTGTATTATCCACTATCACCAAGGTACACTGTAAGCCTGACTGATAGCCTGTTTTGGTATGTGGGCACTGAAGTGAATGCAAATACCAAAAACATAGGATAAATAGGGATATAGTTATGTCGGCCAGAAAGATTTTAAATAAATGGGAGGATTAAGTTTGGGTACTGAAATGTAGTTATGCACTTAAATGAAGGTCTTGAATTTCAGTTAGGCTAAGAGTGTCTACAGCTTCCATTTAAAAGCACAGGGGATCTTGCAGGAGGATTCAAAGCAGATGTGGATCCAGTACCCTAAGTCCGAAGTGAGAAGAAACTGCAATTCCTTACAGTGAATGTTTAGCTTGAGTGAAGAGTTTTGTTTTCTTTTAAGTACTTAGATACACAAAACAGTATACCAACAATAAATCTAGAATTGTATTAATAATAAGCCATCACAAAAGGTGTGGGATAGCAAGTATTGTAATAATACATGAACTTACAATTCTTCCTGCCAGTAGTTTAAAGCTCTTCCTTCTCTTTAAGTAGCTCCAAGTGTTATTGCAGCTACTACAGCAGGGATTCCTAATTAATAGGAGAGACATTAGCAATTTATTGTTTGGTTGCATAGGCATACCTTATTTCCCTTCCGTACAAATAGCTTCTTGCCTCCTAAAATCCATAGATTTTAAGAGCTCTGTTTCATCTGCCTTGAACATTTTCTGGCTTGCATGTGCAGTCCAAATTCTGAAAGTTTTAGAGGAATTGCCTCTACCTCCACCCAAATGCAAAACATAATAATAAAACAATCAGGATCTAAAACTGCTTGGTAGATGCCATTGGAAACAACACACCACACAACCTGAATCCACAACATGGAAAGGGCAGGTATCATTGTATACTGTATTTGAAGAGTTCCTTGAAGGAGGCTGAGATTTTTGCTTTACTTAGTGGGCACCTGTCTGCATTCTTCAGTCTTCCAAGTAGTTCCCTTTCAGCTTGCAGGATTGCCGCTAACTGCTGTACTGTCTTAAGAATGCGCTCTTTGCTTATTAATAAATGATATGTAACAAATAATGTCAGTCAGTCCTTGCTTTTGGATGCATGCAAGGCTCTGGCTGAGGCCATAAGGAATCTCAGAGATATCTAAATGAAGAATTTGAGTCCATATATGCAATCACCGTATCTGAAAGATTTTTTACTTAGTTGGCAGAAAGAGGTTGTTGAATGCTTTGATGACGTGAAAATTTCTCCTGCATGCAACAGACCTATGTTGCTGTGCTGGTGAACAAGCTATCAGTTTCAGTGCCGATAAACAATGAAAACAAGCTCAGTTTATACCAGTAGCGTGAGCAGTAACAGGAGATTATTTGTTAAATCATGTTGCAGTAAACCAGAGAGATACCGATTATAATTGCTCTCTACCAATCTACTATCTTTACAACTCTCCCTGAATGTACTATGTACTGATACTTTGGTAAGGGTTGCCATAGATACGACTTTAAATCTTGCCCCATCCAATTACTGAGGTGGTTACGAGGAAGTGTCCAGGCAGGGGCTTCATGGCTCTAAGCAGCAGTAAGTACAACTGTGCAGAATTGAGTGCTGTCCACATAAATGTCACCAACAAAAAATAGTGCAGTAGGACAGCCACGACTGTACACGAGGGGTCTGGGGGAGGATCTACCATGTCAGGTATGAGAAAGGTGTTACCGGCGGTATCATAAGGAAGGTGTTGCTGGTAGTACCTGGTGATACTGCTGCTGTGATTCCTGGCATTTTGGTTTTCAATTCCAGAGATGAAGATAATGTTAAAAATGGGCATAGAGAAACAGAGACTCACTCACATCCATGTTACAGATGACGTTCAAGTTTTCCTATTGGTAGGAATACATTTAGGAGAAAAAAGTAGAGCAAAATAAGAAAAATTGTAAAATATTTCCTCATTTCCATTGACATTAAAAGCAAGCTAGAGTGTGCAGTCTTTAATACAGACAGAAAACAAAGCAATAACTTGTTTGCAGAATTCCACACCATCATTACTCTCAGACAACTTACCAAATCCATCAGTTTTGTCTGATTTCAACTAGAACAGAAAACCAACACCTTTTAGGACTGGACCCTTTCCAACAGCAGTTGGGATGCATTTTCTTTTTTCCACTCTGCTCTTTCTAAAATCCTTTTCTTCAATGTTAAGAGGTGGAATAGCTTAAGACAAGTATTTCTAAACACTCTTCAAGGTACAAGAGAATAATAAACCTCCACTTCCAAACGCTGTCTTATAAATGCGTTTGAAAGGCAGAGTCTGGAAGCTCCTACAATCTTAATACATTGACCTTCATGGAATTGCTCCAAATCTACATTAGTGCAAGCAGGATGAGAAACGTGCATTCATCTACAATAATGGCAACTCTGTTGGCATGACTTTGCTCCTCGTTCAAGGGTGAATCACATGACACCGATAATCACAGGCATGTCCATCAGGCAAGTTTGCTGCAACTGTATTTGAATTAAGTCACTCACAATAAAACTGTAGCACAAGCAGTGTACATAACCTACATTGCTGTATAATCATGGTGCTTTGAAATCATCTGTTCTCTACAGACATTTTATAAACAGAAGGCAATAGAGTATAGAAACTATCAAATAGGCAACAGAAAGCAGAGTAACATTTAAATAGGTTAGCAAGACGAGGGCCTGAGGAGTGATATATATGCTTCTACATGAATGCTAAAAGTCTAAGCCGTAAGACATTGGGCTGAAATGACTAGCCTTAAATGAAGACAGCAACGTAGCAGGCATATTAGTAACTGGTAATACCAGGGTATAGCAGCAAGTAAATGTAAACGTATTCAGTGAAACAGAAAATACTGTTGTCTTTGCGTAAATGGATGGGAATCTTCTCTTAAAATATAGTCATTTTATGCAGTAAGGCCATGCATAAGATAAAGGAAAATACAGAAATAAGTAAATGTTACAAATATGGAAATGCTGTTCTAGGAAGACAGAATAAAAAGCAACTCTGAAATCCTGGCACTCCTGAAGTCAATGACCAGAGATACGTGATTTTACCCAGGGAGTGTTTTGTTTAGAGAAGCTGAAACAAATACTGAAAGAATAACAAGTGTCAGAGAGACAGTCGTTCCTAAATAGGCTTGCTAGTACAAGAGGGCAATATATAAAACTTAATGGTAGCAGGCTTAATATTTACAGAGTGATTGCTTTTTATAAACATATAAGCAAAGGAAGTAGTTAATGCTAAGTACTTTATTTACCCAAGCGAAGGAAGTGCCACAGCTAAGACAGATCCCAAGCTACTCTTCTGTTTGTCTTGGGGCACTTTAGCATTTAGACATACACTTATTTAGCAACCAGCTGCAGCAATGGAGGTGCAGAGCTGGAGGCTACCACAGCTAAGCAAGGGGAATGAATTGCGCCAGCACTTCCCTGCTGCTGGGGTGCAAAGGCAGGTGGGTGCAGCCACAATTTGTGTCAGAGGAAGCCAGGACTCGCCAAAACTTTTGGCTTTCCAGCAGCCTGGGGACAACTCACATGTCCTGGTTTGCCGGCTCTGACACGGGTCAGAAGCAAGTACGTGGCGACATCTTAAACTTCTCTGCCTTCTAGCTCAGCACGTCTACACCCTTACATTGGCATGCTGGTCTTACAGTTGAAAACAACCAAACAAATGAAAAAAACCCCAAACTCTTCACATTCAAGAAAGTACAACACCCTACCATCAGGACAGAAAAATTAGTAGTGTGATTACACCCGCATCTCAAGAACTGGTCTCTTCCTTTTGCACAGCCGGCGGTGCTCCAGTCATTGACAGTATAGTCCCAAAAGACACAGGCGAGATCACACAGCTGCAGTTCGGATGTGTTGTGCTATGGATTGAGATTGCAAGGAGAAAAAGTGGCTACAGAAACAGAAAGCGATACGCACCAGCAAACGGTGTGTACTGACAATTATCCTCTGAAAGGGGAGCTGACAGTTACTAAGGGATTTACGGGGTTTCCAGTAAACCTTATGAACAATATCATAACAGCATAATTTGGGAATTTGAACTTACTTTATGTGCCTTTCTCAGTCAAGATTGCCAGTGAAATTACCCATTTCTGTGAATTATTCAGGTAATTACGGTTTAGGTGCTGCCAAATGAATTCTGCGTAAGCCAAACAGCAGCTTTATTGACTAGGCATTAAACAACTGCCAGATGAATTCTGCGTAAGCCAAACAGCAGCTTTCAGATATTAGTAGCATTAAATTACTGCCAACCGGAGCTGAATCCACACTGTAACAGGAAGCAAACAACGATAAATGCCGTGAACCACCCCCTCCCCTCCTGCAGCACAGCGGTGCTTGTGCAGTCGTATGTTAAACTGCATGCAGTCATTTTCGGGCAACATACTTCTGCAGGGTACAGCAATTAGAACGGCTTTTTAATAAGCCACAGACATCTCAAAGTGCAAATAAGTAGTGAAAGCAACTATTCACAGTACTACGTAGTTCAATTAAAGATGAGGAATAAAAGTAGGAGTAAAAAAATCAATTATAAGTTTGTCTCAGTGATTTCCTTAGAAATGACACGTGTTTCCCAGATCACTTAACTGTGTGGGTCCATGATGATGGTTACCGATCTATCGTATGCATGTGTTTGAGCGTAAAACCTTTGTTGAATATTGTAAGAAGCAGCCAACTACTGTTTTCTGGAGAAACCATGCTAAACATGAATATTATCTATATGATCTAAAAATTCAGTTATTTGGGCAAATGGGCACTCACATAGAGCATTCCCTGCAAGAAAGCAGTAATATCTGGAATCAGTTCCTGGGGGAGGAAGTCAAAACAAAACACACAATGATTTTAACTGGAAGCAGGAGTTTAAAGATAGTATGAAAAATGAACACTCCCCACATTGGTAGGTGTTGAGCTATGCCAGTCATGTTGACTTTTTCTTGTTTTCAAAAATTTTGATAGTCTTCTGGAAAGAAAAATTGTCCTCCAGGGACCTGGCTTTTTCATTCTTGATTTAGGACTAATCAGCCCTAGGACAAATCCACACTGGTATACCTGTAACTTTTTATGGAATACAGTTTTGCTTGCAAAAACGGCATTATGATAAAGGCTTTAATTACATGATCACACTGTTTTTCCACAGGATTGTTGTCTGAAACAGTGAACAGAAAGGACAGTGACCAGTTAATGAGCTATTCAGTGGTTTTTTTATTGTCACTGCTGGGTGTGTGGGGCTACCTGATTTATCTTTTCGAGTCTTTTCTAATCCTGGTGAGAGGACTGAATTATTCATTTCCCTGTGGGCTTGTATACGAACGATGTTCAGCATTATGATGTCTAAGCGCTCCACAAATTTCACCTTCATTATACTCTTGTGCTGTGATGTCTTAATGTTACTGTCACTATACAGAGAGACTGAGGACAAGTCTGCTGATTTCAGGTGCCCAGTCTGAAACTCTTGTGATTTTTAGCATGTCATAGAAATGTACATGTTCAAAGCTCAGCTCCTCCACACCCACCAGCTTCTGCAGCAAATGAAGCAGAGGAATTACAAGCTTTTTTTTTTTTCTTTTCTCCTGGGTGACACCAATTTCTCCTCCGAGCACTGCAGAGTGTAAATAACAGACATCTGGAAAAATCCCATGTGACCGTGCCATTAAAGACTATTCCAATATGTAGGTGTGAGGATGTGTATGTCCTGGCTGACACCTGACAGTAGCAGTAATTTTAGTTGAAACAGTTGGTATCTTTGGATTTCAGGCAAGGTACGTATGTACTAGCTCTTGATCTTGATGTCTGTAGAGGTATGGACAAAGATTCATTACATTCTCAATTTTAGACAACAAAACAAATGAAAAAGTCCCAAACACCGAAAGCATTCTGGCCATTACATGTACATGTGCATTAATGTATAAATAAGAATATCCAGGTCATTTGACATCTGCATTTCTTGTACCACCGAATGTCACCAGCAAGCATAAAACCCAACATGTAGTTGTTTATATTGGCTAAGTTGTTTTTTTTTCTAAAGGAGATTTTTAGTGAATATTCATTCAAAATTTTCCCAGGCGCAGTTTTCAGTAGGAAAAGGAACTTACTGTTATTTATAATGTTGAACAGTATCTGAACTTCAGTACTGAGGTCACCAGTAAGCCCAGGGACATTTTCCTATATTTCTAGTTTTGTTGACTGATAATATCCCAGTGCTGTATCTGCAAAAATTAGCAGTGGATGCATTAGGATTTATGGTACATAGCGCCTTGTCCAGGTAAATCCAACAACACACAGAGACTTCCCTCTCTGTGCCAAAAACAGAATCGTAGAGGAGCTTAATTTCAGTGGAGCAGACTGAATTGCAATGTTGGGCTGCGAGATGTTGCCAGTCAAAGAAAATTCCTCCATTGTTTTCATGAGGCTGCATTGAAATAATGAGTGGGATAAAAGTTACCATTATTTGTTAATATATGGCTATAGGTTCAGTTTCTGAGCTTCCTTTCTGATTTGGTTCTCCAGCGGGAACTGCTCCTCATTCCCTATCCTCATCCTTTCTCCAAAGCAGAAAAATCCAGCCCAAATTGTTTATGTTGGTATAAATCTACTGAATCTATGAAATTGCATAGTGGAGTTGAACACTAAAAATGTTTTGACTTGTCCATGAACCACTTTCATCCTGAAACAGAAGGGAAAATGCAGTTTACTACATCTAAAAAAAAATGGCAAAAGCTGAAGTTACCTTGTTGTAACATTGACAAGATCATTGTGGTTGAATTCTGTTTCGTTGGCATCCAAGAGTTGATTCACTGTAGCCATTACTGCCACAGATGCCTGAGACAAGCAGAAAAAAAGGCAGTATTCAAATGCAATTGAAATAAATCACCCCATGTGCTACATAGTGGATGGGCAAAGTAAGAACACTTAATAAGCATTGCTTGAAAATACACACAACAGAGTAAACAAAGTACAGGATGTCATGCGAGAGGACACAAGCTTTGCGCCAATGGGTTCATAAATACCACACTTCTATTAATTTAGACAGTAAGGATTAAATTATTAACTTAAACATCAAATGATGCTCGTTTTAGAATTTCAGATATATGCCAGTCTAAACAGCTGATAAGAAACAAATTTACACTCAGCTCTGAGAACTGACCCAGCAGTGATTCCACAAGTATGCACTCAAGGCCACTTAGATAACTCTGCTAAATGGCAAAATGAATGTATTTGGTTGTGGTGTTATGTACAGTTATGAGGAAGGAGAGTGTTCCTTCCGCTGGTAGAGGGGGGACAGAATTGGTATCCCAAATATTAAGCCACAAAAGTCTTATTTTAGTCTCAATAAATCTCACCTGAGAGTCTTCTGAAATGTTTGGCTTTTTCAGAATCTGCACTGCGATGTTCGCAGCAGCAGAGATGTTCTGTGTGGTCAGTTGGTCTGGCATGGAGGTGAGGATTTGAGTGTTACTTGCAATAGCTAAAACATTGCTGGAGTCCGCAGTTTCAACTGTTAGGAAAACGCCATTCAACAGAAAGAAAATGAGAAAAGGAAAAAGAGTCACCACTTTTATAACATTCTCACATAAAATCAAAATATACAAGTAACTGGTGGTCTAAATTGTTTCTGTTCATGTCAAGTACGCGGCATTTGCAAATTCTCCCCAGGGGAAGATTTCATGGGCTCCTGGAGTAGCTTGGGTTGGAAGGGAGCCCTGGAGGTCCCCTAGCCCAGCAGGGCTGGCTGAGACCAGGCTGCTCAGGGGCTCACTTTGCATATCCACAACCTCCCTCAGAAACCTGCTTGTGTTTGACCAGCGTCAAGGGGAAAAATTTTCTCTTATCTAATTGGAATTTCCCATGTTGCCACTTATCTCCATTGCCGCTCATCCTAAAACTGCGCACCTCGAAGAAGAGCCTGGCCCCATCGTTCTCTACACCTTGCGGCGAGGTAGCTGTAGACAGCAGCAGGACCTCCCCTTTGTCTTGAGGTCATTGAGCTTCTGAGTCTGTAAACTTCTGTACACCTTTCACTATTCCTTAAATAACCAGAACAGGTTTTTTTGAAAAGCCATCATTATCCTCACTTCAGTACATTGTACATAGTGTCAACTTGGAATAAATGTAGAAAAAATAAAATATTCTGGTGCTGGAGATACTAGTAAGAATCACTAGAAGCACTGGTTGGGTCCAGTTTGAGTCAGTTAGCACTTAATGGGTAGAGCGTAAATGTCTATAGTATCTTAAGAGTCTAAACACAAAAAAAGATGAGGCATTAACTGTATGTAATATGAAGGTATAGCTAGGTGACAATAAGACTTAGAGAGATGGAAAATCTGCTAATCAACAGGAGAATTTCCTTGTAGGCTATGGAGACCAACTAAGCAGTGTATCAAGTCATCCCTTTTCTAATCCAGTCAATGAATAGCTTAAATGAATAGCTTCAAGAACAGAATTGTTCTCAGATTGTTTATGTTGGGAAGCCATCAAAATCAGGATTAATTCAATCATGTAGCTTTGAAGTGTTTATAAAGCTTGGAATGGTAGGAAAGAAAGGTGAACGTGTTGCCTGGGGAGGAAGGAAATTTGCATTTATTATTACTGGAGATGATGATATTTGACTTGAAAACATCTGCATATGCACCATGAACAAACAGTACATCGTGAATGCCTATTTTCACTATTCTTTCTTCTGAATTTTAGCATGACCTTGTACTCAAAGTAAATATTTATATTTAAAAGGAATAAAATCCTTTTAAACCTAGGCTCTGGATCACTAGCATGAAGACCTCCTCCTATTTCCTAGCATCCGTGCACCCCGAGCTGCCCCAGGCTCACTAGGTGGCAGCATGACATCACAACGCATAACAAAACCCCAAATTATTAATGGCAGCAGAATAACCTCATGTTGCATCTAATTAGCATTAGAAATAGCTACTACTAATATTATATGTTACTTTAGAGGAGATCTGACATTTGAAGCATTTAGTAAAGGCTATGTACTGGGAAAATATAATATTGAGCTCAAGGGTTTCCCATCAAAGGATCCAGGCAGGTGAAGCGTTGGGTTGAAGGTAGAATAGTCAAGCAAAAATGCATGATGAAAGGGACTTCTCTTATTTAAAGGGACTGTAGCTGGTTTCTTCTTTTCTTTTTTTTTCGGTTGGACTAGTGATAAGGAAACGAAGCGCAGAAGCAGAAGAAGAGAAGCAGTCACTGTCTGAAATGTGCTTGGTCATGTTCAGCTCTCCATGTTTGGTAGATATGGCAGAGCTAAGCCTTAAAGCAAGGCTTCAGGGTTTACGGAGTTTATCAGGAAGAGTTTGTCATTCATACGAGAGAGTTTGAATTTGAATTCTTGAGGGACAGAAGTGTTTCATCCGTGTTCAGCTGATCACAGGACTGAATGGAAAGGCCTTGCCCTTAATCCTTCCTAACGTGTTAGTGTCAGCGTCACTTCATTCCCTCATGCCAGTCTTCTCCAAATCCCTTCCACTTTCTCGCCGATTTGGTATCCTGGGTCTGCATCACCTCCACTCAGAGGTGTTTGCTGTGAACTGGGAACCTGACTGAGGAAATTGCAGGCCAGTTAAGAAATATGAAATGGGATGCTGTGTTCAGGCAAAACCAAGCAAAATAAAATAATCACTGTTGGAAATTTATTTGCAAAGCAGGCACATGCCAAGCATGCCACTGAAAAAGGCTTCGGTTATTCATTTTGCTTTCTGCAAAGTTTTAAGAAATGTAACAAATACATGTTTTCTGCCTCAATTTCCTACCACTTTTTTTTTCTTGGGATGATGCAGAATCTGAGACGCTGTTTAAATAGTAATTTAAGATTACCTGTGATGCTAGGGAGTCCAGATTTTCATTACAATTCAGAATTTTGGGAGGCTCTAAAGTAGGAGTTCTCCCTTCTCTGGAGCACATCTGGATTGCTACATCACATCCTATTGAAGTGTTACCTGTAATTTTGTAAAAGCAGAAAGATACGCATTTAGTACAGAAGCACTCACTCACACGCACATGACCTCAGTGGGAATTAAAACTGTTCGGTGCATGTGACACCCTATCCAGTGTTATTTTCTGTTTGCATGTAAAATATTTGTCTTTCAGTGTTACAAGTGAGCATCAATTATCTAACTAGTTATTGTTCTCTTTGGAACATGTGTTTTATACTCGTATACACAATCTTGTCAGAGTGCCTGACATTATTCATGCCAAATTCAGATAGGTTTAGTTACGCTAGAGCTGCAGAAACATCTCTTAAATGGGAGGTACAGGCATCAGCACTGAGCTATCAGACTTTTTGTCATGTCCTGAAAAACATAGTTTATATGTTGTGAAAGAAGTGCAAAGGGCACATGGAGCAGCCATGCAACAGTTACTCCTCTACAAGGTCTCTGAAAGCTGAGACAGTTCATGGAACCACAGTTGATGGAAAGCGTCCTGGATCCTAATGCTAAATAGTAAGATATAAATAGATTATTTTTCTATCAAAAGGCTGTTCAGGAGCAGATATTAACTGACTCTCAGCCCCATCCCAGACAGGCATAGACACAACTCGGCCTGCATACCTTAAATTCTCTGCATTTGGGGTAGAAAGCTGTGTGGAAAGGTTTGTGCTCCTGCTGCCTGAGCTATGCTGTTCTGGCTTCAAACACCGACCTTTCATCTGCTCTAATAATCTGACATCTTTCACAAACCTTACATTTACTGTTGGGAAGTAGAAGTGAATGGAAGTGACTGGACATTAGGAAAAACTTCTTCACTGAAAGAGTGGTCAGGCCTTGGAACAGGCTGCCCAGGGAAGTGGCAGAGTCACCATCCCTGGAGGTATTTAAAAGACGTGTAGATGAAGCGCTTAGGGACATGGTTTAGTGGGCATGGTGGTGTTGGGTTAGCGGTTGGACTTGATGATCTTAGAGGTCTTTTCCAACCTTAATGATTCTATGATTCTATGATTCTATGATTCTATGAAAGAAACATGTACCATTCACAGTATCAGGTTTGCATTTTTCTTTGGAGTTGCCATATTTACCCACTACAATCTGTTCAAAAGTGAGGGGTTTTATAATACTTTCAAAAATGTTCACTGTGCAAGTACTGGCTTCACAGAAATTAACTGCACAGAAGAAAAAACCCCATATATCCAGATCAAATATTCTTAGTACAAGAACCAATTTTCAAAAATAAAAGAGTATTGAGACAATAGAAGCTTATTGAATCTTTTGCACTAGAGGAAATAGAAGCAATTGGGTAAATCTTGTCTAAACCCAAGCTGCTGAGCTGCTACAAGCGGTATTTATGAAGTCACTGAAACCCTGAAAGCCCATGCTTTTTGCCATCTCCTATTTTCACTGCCTTGGTCCTAGAAAATTTGTGAAAGATTACAAAGCTTCACTTCCAGAGTCTTGTTACCCAGGCAGAAATCAGATTTGGTAACCTAATGCCACAGAATACAGCAGGGAGCAAAAATACACATTTACTCCAAATGGGGTTTGGACAATTAATGGGGGACGGTCCTTTGGTGACTCTGAGCCATGATGGGTCGGATGTGGCTTCTGGCGCAGGAAGTCGCTGCCCCACTGCCTGCTGGAAGGGGACAGGGTGGCCACCCCAAGCCCCACACCTTGTCTAAGCACCTGGTACTGGCTACGTCTAAAGGCAGGATGGCGAGCTCAGTGGACCCGTGGCCTGACCCAGTACGGCAGCCTATTGCATTCTCATGTCATACCGTACCGCTATAACTTAACATAAATTTACCTTGCAATGCTGCAAACACTTGAAAAAAATACTGCAGCACAGAGACAGAAAATTTTTGCTTGGTCTTAGGACTTGCAACATCCTGTTTTTGCTAACTTTTGCTAATTCGGACCACATTTCAGCTGACTGTGTCCCATTAGCAGGACTGAGTCAAAGAAGCATATTTATGGTGGGGGTCCTGAGGGGGGCTCCGGAGACCTGGAGTGTTCTCCGTGTTTTGGCACGGGCTTCCTTGCCAAGTCACGTAACTTTCTATGGGTCTTGTTTTCTGTAGGGTCTGTTTCCCATGACGCAATGATACTTTCCTTCTATAGAAATGGTTATGAACAAATAAAGACGCATGACTCTGCAAAGATTAGGTCTGCCTTATAGCACCATACCTGAACCTCGCTTGCCAGAAGGTGATTAGCAGGGCAAGGTGTCTCAAAAATGTGAGGTGGCAGAAACCTCTGGAGGGTATCTAAGCCAAAGAGAGGCTCCACATCCTCGTTGGGAAACATGTTCCTGTGACACGCTATCTTTCTAACCAAAACATTTCTCTTCATGCTCAATCTCAGCCTCTCAAACTACAGTTTATGACTCCTGCCCCTTGCTTTACCTTCTGGTGCTACCGAGAAGAGTTTGGATTCAATGGTCTTTGCAACTCAGTCAGCTGGAGGCTGCTATTAGCTCTGCCCTCAGCCTCCTCTGCACCACACTGAACGAGCCCAGCTCCCTCAAATGCTCCCTGCAGGCCACCTGCACTAGGCCCCTCACCGTCCTCACCGCATCCTGCTGGACCCTCTCCAGTTTCTCCCAGTCTTTTTGGCCTGGGGTGCAGGGGGAAAAACTAACGCATTTCCCAGTGGTGCCCCACCAGTGCCAGGAAGGGGAGGGTAATAGTGTCTGTCAACCTGTCTCCCTCCACATAGCACAGCTGCTCTGCCTTGCTTGCAATAAACACACGCTGTTGGCTCATATTTAACTTGGCATCTGCCGTCACTCCCAGGTACGTTCCAGCAGGGCTGCTCCTCAGCCAGCAAGTTTCTGGTCTGTACCAATGTCCCTGGCACGAGATCGGCACTTGTCCTTGTTGGACACTGTGAGGTTTCTGTTGGCATGATCCTCAGGTTTCTCTTCTGCAGTGAAGCTCTGCCATTAACTGTGTCAGCAATAGCTCCGCCCTGCCCCAAGTTTAGTATTGTCTGCAGATTTGCTGAGAGGGCATGCTGTGTTGTCGTTCAGGTCTTTGATGAAGACATTAAATGATACTGGCCCTAGTATCAACCAGCAAATTACTCTACTTTTACAATATTCCAACCAAATCACTGATCGCTACCCTTTGAGCTTGGCTGTTGAGTTAATTTTCAATCCAGCTAATGGTTCATTCACCCCACCCGTACATCTTCACCTACCAAACAAGAATGCTGAGGGAGGTGGTGTCAAAGGCTTCTCTAAAATCAAGGTATATTACATCTGTTGCTCTTCTGTTGTCTACATAGCCAGTTATTTCATACAGAAGGCAGTCAGGTTTTGCCCTTTGTAAATCCATTCTGTTCCTGATTATCTTCTTGTCTTTCACATGCATGGAAATAGACTCCAAGAGGACATGCTCCATAATACTTCTAGGGCCTGAGGTAAGCCTGACGGGCTTATGGTTCCTCCAGTCCCCCTTCTTGCCTTTCTTAAAGGTGGGCATAATGTTGGCCTTTTTTCAGTTCTCTGTGGCTTCCCTTGATCACCGTAGGTCACAGATAGCAGCCCCACAGTGACATCGGCCGGGTCTTTCAGCAGTCTTGAGTGAATCCTGCCTAGACACATGGATTTGAATACTTCTGTGGTGATCCTGCCTTCCTTCTGACAAATGAAAGCCAGGAATAAGTTGCTATGTTCATGCATGAATACATATGCATTCATACACGAGTACCTATTCAAGCTTTATTTTTCATCTTTCTAGTTATTCAGCCCTTACAAAAGTGAGTCCATCCGAAATAAAATTGTTTGGTGCTTTTTCCCCCACTGATGAAGAAAACCAGGCCCTTTGTCATGATCTGTGAAGGAAAGTAGCCATGACATAATGTACAAAAGAATGAAATGTGAGACAAGCGGAAATTTTCCATCACCATTGGAACAAAAGTAATTGGTTTACAAAAGTTGTCTACCCTATATGCGCTGCTCTCTCCTGCTAGCAATAAAGCAGATCACCTCCTCTATAGCCGCAACATCCAACTGCATTTCCTTCCAGCTTCCCCAAAATCTTTAGCACTGTGTTCCCGCACTCTTTATGCCCCATCATGCCTCAGCCCCCCCCATCTCTGTGTCCTACATCCATCTTTAGATTCCCAATACATAAAATATACATCTTTATTTTGTTAGCTAGTGGAGAGGAGACAAATGTCATGGGTAGTTTAGAGCTATGCTTCTTAGTGGCTAGACTGGATCAACTGGCCGTGTGGCCCCCACCTCCTCACTGCCGTCATAAGTCTCCTTGCCTTTTTCTCAGTGAGGTATTTACAGGGTTGGTCTTCTGTACCCAACTAGTGATATGTGCAAAACTCATAAGATCTCAAGACCTTTAAGACCTGTAACCATCTAGTGAATTTAGTTGCAGCTGGTCAGCAAATTAAAGTTGCCAAGAAGATGGAACAGCAGACAGATGGGCAGTATAAACGTTCCTCGGGAAAACAGAGTAAATTCAGGTTTTGTAAATGCAATAATGTTTGTTATTATTTCAAGTTAATGATGCCTGTCCAAACATTCTTACCTCATGTATTTTAATAGCTACAGTTATTAAAATCTATTCTTTAAGGCAACTCACAGCAAATCAAATACAGAATACCAGAGGAGTGAACACAGGGAATTACAGAGTTATCATAATGGTTTGTTTCCAGTGCTGACATCCCAGCCATGATCATTTTATTTAAGCCAACTTCTCTGAAGCATTTTGCCCAAATGTTCCAGTCCATCATGAACCCATCCAATCTGTCATTGTCTGTTGGATGTGCTACCCATCCTGTCATGAGGGAAATGACATGGCAGACCTGAAGTTTCCATCTACCTAGCAGGCTTCACCAAGAATATTTTTCCTGGTTAAGCTGCAGATCTTTCGACATCCTTCTGACCAAACATGTGAGTTCGTTTGACAAAGGCACAGCTGACACATGACGGCGTATCCATGTGTCACACGTGCCCCACACGTGTGGGCTGTTGGCTTGGAAAGCATGAGCTGGGGATCTTACCAGCTCTGGAGATGCTGCGGCTCGGTGAGCCGGCACCCTCCCGGCATCGGCTGGGAGCACCCGCTCCAGTTACAGCAGGGCAGAGATGCCATGCTGCGGCAGAGGGGGCTGAAATGGAGTCAGCCAGGCCAGTGCTATGCCAGGCGTAGGAAATTTGACTCATCCAGAACCAGCGCCAGTGGCAGCAGGAGCTGAGGACAGGCATTGTCCCGCAGGGTGCTGGGCTGGGGGGTGTCCCTTAGACACTGGCAGATCCAGACACGGCAATACTGGCCACTGAGGTCTGAATCAGACTTTCAAGTCACTATGATCTTCAAACAGAGGAATTCAAACAAAGGCCAAATTGGCTAGAAAGAGACCACAGACAGTTGAAACCTGTAATGTCTTCCCCAGATATATTACTCATTTGAAAGTGTGACAGAAGTGGGTGAAGGATATGGTCTCACCTAGCAAGAAGAGCCACGTCACTGCTTGCCGATCTGACCCTGCTGAGCAGGTCTCAGGGAGGGGGGCAAGATCAGGGACCCCCCAAAACAGAGGGGTTCCCAGAAATGACGCCAGCTGCCCATGCTGCCTGGCTTGTACTGACCTATCTCACAAAGAGATCCCACCCACTCCTCTGGGCACAGGCAGGCTCCATCCCAACAGATGCCACCATTGAGGCAGAAGCACAGAGGTACCATGGATTCTGTAGTGTCTGTGTGAATAAAGAATCAAGATATATATATATTCATTAATACATATGTAAAAGCACGTAGCTATCTAGTTTGATGAAGGAAAGAAACAAACATGATTTATTTGAAGCTTCAACTGAAAAATATTCAACTAAAAAATATGTGACCCACAGTCTCGCCCATTTACTCAGTCACTGGTCCCTCCTTGCCCCTAAAACCAATAGCATGAATGTGGCGTCAAAGCTTTGAAACGTGGATTTGCGTTCCCACCATGATGTAGGTGGAAACAGTTTTGTGCAGCTACTGGACGAGCAGGAGTGATGGTGTGGGCCTCCAGGATGCCAAAAGCTCAAGCTGTTGAACCTGTGAAAAGCCCAAGTTACTTCTGCAGGATTTCACAGGAGCAAGAAGGCAAAACATGGCCACAGATTCCCAGTGCTGAAGGACCCCGAATGGTAACAAGGATGTGGATAGTCACACATCCAAGAATGAGACGGAGATACTCTGATTTAAGACAGGCGTTATAGGATAAAGCAGATAAAACCCATGCCCCAATCTCAGCCACAGCCTCTATCCACACTCCAGGACGGGTGCTGATTTTTATTCTGTCTTTTGGCAGAAATAGTGGGATTTGTTCGAAGTAGTCGTTGCACAAGCTGCCGCAGCTTCAGGACACAAAAAAGCATGGTATAAGCAATAGCAGAGAAATTGCAGATCTTAAAAATTTCTGAATATACCATGGTATTTGCTGTGTTCGGCAAGCTCTGAAAATGCTAAGGTTCCTTAAAAAAAGAGACTGGCAAATCTTGAATGGCTAAGAGATATTCTGCAGCAGAAGTTGCAACAGGGAAGGGGTTGATGGACCTCAGGCTCTGAAGGATGCATCCAAGACCTGGGGGATCTCCATGGACCAAGACTTCCTCGCAGTCAATCTCACCTGGTCCCTAAGTGAAGGATGGAGTTGGAATCCCTTCCCATAAGGTTCATGGTGGAAATTGTGCACCTGTGCACTGGGTGCAGTGTATGCCTTGAAATAACGCAGAAAACTGGAGTTGAGGACTGCCATTTGATCTGGCATTTAGTGCCTGTGTTTTGAGACGCTGACAAATAGAGGAAAGCCAGAAAATTCAAAAGTAAACAGCGCTGTCAGGAACATATGTGCTATTGTATATTTCTAATGTTCTCACTGAACTGAAAAGATTGCCTAACTTCTTACTCTTTAATGGGATTCATGTAACTGGAAGATTATTGCAAACTATAGGGGATGTGCCACGTGGCGGGGGTAATTCTGTTCTTGGCACGCATCGCTCGGCTTTTGCTCATGTTGTTGCTATTTAGCACTTGTGTTTCAGGCCGTCTCAGCTACATTACAGCCAGATGTCTATGATGACAGTGGAATAACATCTATGTGTCGCTAGGTAATGTCTCCGCTAGCCATCAGCTTTTCAAAACACATTGTCTCTCCGTTGGAAATCTTACAGAAAGGAAAGGAAAACTCCTCCGGCAATTGAGGTCTGGGTGGCCCAAGCGAAGCAGCTGCGGAGAACGGCTGTCTCTGGGGGAGCTGGGTGCCTGGCTGGGCAGCTGTTGCCCCATTGCCCAGCAGCGCTGGCTCAGCTGCCAGACGCACGTGTGTGGCGCATGGGGCCATGTGGCAGAGGAGTGACACAGGGGCTCTGCCACTTGCTTTGGACTGGGAGCCTGGGAACCCACAAAATACTGGGGAACCTGCAGCATGGCTCCAAGCTTCTGTCTTCCTTGGTGAATGCGTGCTCGAAGCCAGGCAGAAGGTGACACAGGAGGGTAATCCGGCACAGAGCATCCTGAAACCAAGGAGGGAGCGGTGCTGCCCAGCAAATGCCCAGAGGGTGGGCTGCCTGCGGAGGAGCCGGGCAGGGGGGCGGCTGGGGCAGCCTCGGGGGGGAGCTGTGGGGGCGGGACTTCCCGGGGGCTGCCGGCGGAGGAGCCGGGCAGGGGGGCGGCTGGGGCAGCCTCGGGTGGGAGCTGTGGTGGCGGCACTTCCACAGCCGGGCAAGGGTGTCGGGGTCTGGCTTTGGCACAGTTAGTCACCGGCTGCAAAAGGAGTGTAAGGAAAGGGAAAGGTGAAAAGGAAGACAGGGCTGACGCTCCTTTGAAAGCAGTAAAACAGAAAAGCACAAAGCTGTGGGGTTAAAAGTCCAGTGTTTACCCCTGAAGGTGCAGACACAGCTACCACGGAGCCCGTGCAGCAAAGGGCACGTGCCAGCTAACCGCATCGGCCTTACCTTTGCCTTCCACAGAAGAGTCCCTCTGTAACAGCAACGTGACGCCTGCGGGATCTGTTAATGCTAGTCAAAATTGTGGCTCCATTTAGTGCTTCCTGGTAACCTTGCTTAGCCTACTGTTCAAGGGCTCATGTACCATTCTAAAGCGGGTTTTTTTTGCAGAGGGAAATCTGTGTCTTTCACAAATATGAATTCCTGAGCTGACTAATGCAGTTATGTCTACCCCACACGCAGTAAAACTCATCAGGCTCCAGTAATTGTGGCATTGGCTTAAAATCATGGGGTTCTTTTGATTTTATTTTAAAATTCAGAAAACATCTTCTTTTTATTTGTCTTGGGCTTTTAAGTTTTGCAGACATTAATCATCTCAAGAATCACGTTGATTTTGACCGTATATATTTTTAAACTAAAACGAAAAGATTCTTGCATAATACCATGTCATTATGAACTGTTGGGATTTTTTTAATCAAACATCGTGGGAACTGTTAATGCTAATACTTGTGGTTAAAGTTTGAATAAAGAAGAAACACTCCCACTACGCACAACAAGCAATGCATCAGATGGGCATGGAGGTATCCTCCATCCCTGAAGTAGCTGCAGTTTAAGTCCGATTTCTAGCAGCTCATTTGCCTGCAGTTGTGTAAATCCTAGGCCTAAGCAGAGGTGTCCCCAGGTTGCACTGACAGTTTATTCCCATATCATCTGGATTTAGCTCCATCAAGTCAAACAAAGCGCTGGACATATATTAGCAAAGGTAGATTATTACTGACGTATGTTAAATAATTGCTGTTCGCTTAGGTGCCATTTCTTGCGCTTGGGTATGTTCCCTCCTTACAAACACCTGATAAATCTCTTGAAGTAAATATAGCCTAATGTATCCTCATATAAACTTTTCCCTAGGCTTCTTGGTCTCCAGTCATATCTGACTCCCTGCTAGACAGGCAGCCAGGAGTATCTGATTCCTTCTATGAATTCTGAATATGGGTCCATGCATAATTTTGTATCATGTCAATATAGTGAGTATTTTGCTGAAACACTGATCAGTTTTCTGCTCCAAGTTTGCACACAGAAGTGTCTTACGAGGGTGCATTGACCTGATTTTCAGGTATAGAATATGCAAACCAATATCTCCGATATTCTTTCAACAAATTTTTCTATAATGCAAGTTGTAATGAAAACACGAACAGCTGCTATACAGCATGTTTTGCCAATATGCATGCAAACATATAAACATATGTAAAGCTAAATATTTCTTCTTTAAAATGTAATTTACTAGACTAGCTAGAGGTTTATTTTTGTCTTTTGAAAAAAAATCAGATTTCTACTGGAAGAGAGAAAATTTCAAGAGATTTCTCAAAGCTCTATCAGAGGAATCATGTTGCAAGGAAAATAGTCCAGAGATTGTTTGCCATCCTATTCTGTTTTACAGCAGAATGCAAAGTTTGGGGTACTTCTTTAAACATCAGTTAAGAAGAACTTTTCCATCTAAGAAGTGTACAGCATGGATGTAATAATGTTTATCAGCAATCATGTTTAAATATTTAAGGAAAGGAAAAAGAACCCGAAGAGCTCAAATAGAGCTCAAATGGGGTAGAATCATATTTCTTACCTGTTTTAAACCCAAGGACAAGCTGCCAAATATACACAGTGCCCAAAGGGTCACGGTCACTATACAACAGGTAATTCCAACCGATATTCTGTCCGGTGGAGTGAAGGCATGTTGTGGTGCAGACTTGTCTGCTCTGCTATAAGATGGTATTATACATTCATAACCTTGTGATGGATAAACCGTTAACTACTTGTCTACTGCTAAAACTTTAACCTTTCCTGTTCCACTTAGGAAAAAAAAAGTTTTGGTGGAGAAGTAGCACACCATTATTTCTATCATTTTCCACCCTATAAAACATTTCACTTATCAAGGCATTAAACGTCATGTCTTCTACTTGCTATAGGAAAATGTCCCAGCTCAGACACCCAGCTACATTTATACTGATAAGGGCTAGAGCCTGTTATTTGAGTGCACAGCACGGCTCAGAGCATGCCAGCGAATCTCTCTTCCCTCCTAGCAAGGCATCCCCGTATATATATATATGTGTGTGTATATATATATATTGCCTCCTGGGAACTGACTCTGGCCCTCAAGCTAGACCCGCGCATGGTCTGGGAGGTGCTGGCTGGCGTGGGCCAAAACCATGCCAGGCAGCGTGCTAGCACCTGAGGGATTAGTCCTGTTGCGTGGCCCCGTTTCATTTGCTAGCACAGCCATAACCGCCGGGCCGCGCAGCGGGGAGGCCGGGCAGGACCCAGGGAGGAGGCTGTGCAAGGGGGAGAAGGAGGACTCTCCTCTGCAGCAATGTTCCTCTTGTGCTGAGAGGAGCTGGAAATGCTGACTGTATTAGGACTGGCCTAGATCAGGCGCTTGGCACGCCCTTTCAGGAGAGTAAATGGCATTTCCATACTACATACTTTGGACAGGCAGTGCAGAGCCGTGTTGCATCTCCTCTGTGCATCTCCACCATTAAATATGGTCACTCAGCAGGCACTGGCACAACTGGGAATAAAATCTGTGCCTTCAGATTCCCAGGACATCTGATTCATCCAAAAAGGAGTGGGGAAGAAAAAGAAAGTGGGTAAAAGGCACAAGTAAAATGTGAAGCGGAAAGAAAAGTTACACCCCCAGAACTGCCAAAATCAGCATCGTCTTCTGCATGCTAGCCTGTCCCCCACTGACAAATTGAAAGCTGAGATGAATATCACAGTCAAAGTGAAGAGGCAAATAGAGCTATTTAAAGAACTAATTGGAATAAACACTGTCTTTTTTATCATCCGTGATCAGTGGATGAATCCCCTGCGTGCGAGTAGGAACAGTACCTTGCTTTTACGTGGTGTTCTTCATTAGTGGGGACGTTTGAGCCTTTTAACTCAATAAAACGCCAAACTGCAAATCCCCCCCAAGAGGGGGGAGCACTGGCAGGCTTTCTTCATCAGAGGGGCAGAAATGGGGCTCCGAGGGGCAGGGCAGCAGAGGTGCCCTCTTTGCCCGGCGAGAGCAGCCGTGGGTGGAGGCTGGGTGGCACAGCTCCAGGGCTGGCCCCAGCGTGCATCCCACTGCCCGGCCATCCCGTGGGCTAGGAAGCATTTGCAGAGTCGCCCAGGCAAGCCCTGGCAGCCTGACAGCTGCGTGGCCCAGCTATCTCACTGCTGTCAAAATGTGAACAACCGCAACGCTCAGCCAGAGAGAAGCATCTCCTCCTTGTCCTACTCACAAAGAATGCTCAGTACCCTTGCACGTGTTAATTACTTTACAGCCTCTTGCCATAAGCAGTTAAATGTTTGGTTTTCTGGGGTTAGAAGGGCCAAGAGTTTAAAACCGGGTCTAAGAGACACACAGGAAGATGCCCATCCCTGCACAGGACTTGTACAGAGCAAAGCAGAACCAAGCGTGATTCGGACAGACTGGATCTTACAGATGGGGAAACTGAGTCACAGAATAGTTCAGCATCATTAACTTAACCTACATCCAATATAGCACCAAGTCTGAGGTTTACAGTATTTTAAAAGTATACCCAGCTTCTGAATCACAGGTCTGGGTCCTTTGCTAGTAGAAATGCTGCTAGATGATAGCAGGGACTTTGTGTACTTCCAGAAATTTTTAAATGACAAAGCAGGAGAGAAATAAGAATTAATTCTTGTGGTTACTGACATTGCCCTTTCTGTTCAATGGAAATAACATCCCTGCTTCATTCCTTTAACATACATAACATCATCATGGACGTCCTTGAGCAGCATGTTGTGTTTAGGTATATAAAATACTGTGAGTCCAAAACCTTGGGTTGCAAGCCCAGGTTTGCAAATGGAAGACGGTTTGTCAACTGGGAAGTGGAAGTAGGATTATGAGCAAAAAAGATTGTGAACTTATAACTTCACATGAATATTTTATATAAACCTTAAAGAAAAAAAAATGGCATAAGGAACCAGATGGCAAAACCAAAACAAATCAATAAATACATCCTAAAGTTTAGTACACTTTTATTTATGAAAATATTAAACCATGTTTACATGATGGAATAATCAAACTGAAAGAAAACCTTATTACTTGCAAATTTGTATATGTGGTGCAGCTGCGGGGAGACAAAACCATTTTTAAGAGGTTAGATATGTTTTTTCTGCTTTCCTCCATTTCTTTTAAGCCTTAATTAGAGCCAGATGTTTCTTATTTCCTTTCTTTTTTGTTTTCAAGCCTGAATAAAGTGCGGTGCCAGCAGTAAACACCATCTTCGACTTTTTTTTATGTGTCAACTGCATCTGGCTGAGTTGGAGTCACAAACCAGTAAAATTCCAGCAAAGCAGTGCAAGCTTTCACTCCTGCTGTCATTCCCGTCGGGAGCGGGAAATCGGCATTACTGCTTCTGGGGCTGCCGCACAGGAGCCATAAAAATCCCAGAGTGTGTCAGAGAACCTTGTCCCTGGTAAATAGCACTGGAGGCAGACTGGAATGCCATATACCATGAACGCAGCTTCCCCTCCCATAGTCTTAGAGTGCTGGGAGTGATTTCTAGTTGCTTAATTGCTATTCAGTTGCATAGATCTGCAGTCTATTTTCCATTTCTTCTTTCTCCTCCTCAGGGAGGCAATGGCTGGTAACCACAGTACGTAGTCGTAACCATTTCTGCTCCAATTTCATGCCCTTACTGTGACATTGACTTCTTAGGTACCATCCCCTGCAGAATGTTTTGTCATTAAATGGCAGTAGTCTATGTGCAAGAGCTTTCTTTCTGAATCAAATTGCAAAGTATGCTGTGGTATTTACAATTATGTTTTTCAACTACTTTTAAAATGTATTTTCATTCTAAGAAGTATATCAAATCTAGAAATCCATGAACTGCAACAATTACGTAGCAAGGTGTTAGAAATGACTGTTCTGAAAAAGTCAGCTGAGGACTAGTTATGCCTTATCTGACAAATACTAGGCTTTTTACTCCCACATATTTTGAGCAAGCACATATTTTACCTAGAATAGATTTTAAAGGCAAGTGCTCAGCAGTTTTCCAGTTGTCTTTCTCCGTTTTAACAGATGTGCTGTTGTTGCGCAGTCCTTGGGAGTCAGGCTTGCTTCCACTACTGCACATGCCAAAGGGCTTTTTGGATAAAAAACTATTCTGTTTTCTTCCACCGACTTCTGTACCAGTAACTCCTACCCCAACTGCTGTAGTTCAGAGGAACTGAACCATGTGGGAGAAGGGCATTAAGGTACCAGATACACCAAAGTTTTCTAGCGCCTCAATTTTAAGGATGAATGAACTTGCAGGATTGAAATTCCTTGCTGCCAGATTTACTCTTAGTTCAAGTTAGGTTTAGATACAAGGGAAAAAAAGTATTTATTTGCAGAATATAGAACAAATACCACAGTTACTAAGCTTTACAGAGATGCAGATAACGTAAAAGCAAGAAAGGCACATTTGACCCATTTATCCTCGTGATAAAACTTCAATGGGTTCCTTCCCTCCTGTCAGACAAACTCCTTACCTTAACCATGCGTGTGCCTCTATCGGTGGTGCCAAAGGAGTACACCTCTTCAGCACAACCATTCCACGCTACAGGCGTTTTGGGACTCTAGTTTTGTCCCAGGGATGCAGATGCCCACTAGTGCTCGGAGCACACGAGGCGCAATGCTGGAGAGCACCATGAAACTTCGTTTCCTGTGAAGGGACTCCAGCTCCCACGCTCTGACTCCTTTCCATGGTGCAAACCTTGGCACTTAAGTTAGGGCGAGCGGGTGACGTCCAAAGTGCTCTCTTGATCCAGACCGAAATGCTAATGTAGTTGCACCCGGCAGCGTGGCCGGGGACCCAGGAGCAGCCTTGCCTTTAAGCTGCCAGCTGGGAGATGCTCTTTTTCCCCCCAGGACATCTTGTTCCTTGGTTGTCCAGGGGGTGGTTTCAGCCTCCTTTCCCTTGGGCTACTGACTCCTTTGCAGCCCGCTGACAACATTGAGCAAGCTCTCTTGGGCTCAGGTAACGCTGTCCCAAGACCGGGCTCCCCATACCGTGCATGAGTACCTCCTTCCATGCCTCACCCCAACACCAATGCGACTGTGAGGTCCTGAGTCATCCCCACGGGTGGAAACACCTTTTCATTGTGGACCAAGATTCTGCCGCACACTGAAGCTGAGCCAATGCCAAAACGTGCATTTTACACACAATTGCCCGAATGGGATGGGGCATGCAGCCTCTCAGCAGCTTTTCCTTGAGGTCAACCATGAGAGTCAGCAGTCACGCTGGCGATGTGGTTCGAGATAGCTGACCCCACCCCCAACCCCAGGGGGTACGGTGACATTGGTACATTTGATTTTCTAATGCAAACTGGTTGATTCCCCAATTGGTTGATTTAAAGCTACTTCTAGATTTTTAAAGCTTCTGACTGGTAGTTTTCGGAAGTCTTATGCGACTCACTCAGATTTGTGAGCAACCAGATGAAATGGGAAATTAGGAAGTGCTGACTTTCTCTCCCTTATCTGGTTCTGGAGAAATTTAGAAGTTTTCTTATGTACAGGTAAGTGGATCCTACCCAAAGTTCTCCACAGTTGACAAAAAAACACTCTCTGTCAAATATGTAGCAAAGTGGTATCATATCCATGAAATGATGAAAGTAAACCATGGGACTGTAATCTTTTGTGAATAATCAATTTATCGCCAAAATGCAGTCTGACAGTGGCCAAAATTATTTGCTACTTTTTGTCAGGTATGGTCACTAGTTTTAATTTTAGAAACCGGTGAAAAATATGAAGAGGACAAAATCTGTAATTGCCAACATTTCTTCAAGTACCTCAGTTTTTTCTTTCAGAATGCATTTTCATCTTACAGCAGAAAAAGGTTTTTGTTCTTTTCTTTAAAGGAAAAAGGGAGCAAAGTCAAATCAAATCCTAAATATTTTTATTATTAAGCTTGCCAAAGCATAAAGATCCCGTTCATGTAGTTCTGTTTACTTGGCTTGCTGGCTGCTCCATCATGGATAACACAGGAGACCAGATCCAAGTCTGGGACCTCCTTTTTCCATAGCATTTGACTTTTGTGGATCTGTGAAGCTCTACTGCCCAGACCTCAAAAAGAGTTGTTTTCACCTGTGTGGTAAATGACAATTAAATAGTAGAATCAAAGGAATTTGACAAGGCAGCACTGACCTTTCCTGAATTCGAGTGCAACTTGTTCAAATGTTTGGGTGGGCTGTGAGAGTAACATGTCTATCCCACCCCATCCTGCCGCATAAATGGTTACATTTTTTCCCCTGAAAACATGACAGACATCATGTATGAATAAATCAATTTTATTTAAATAAAATTACAGGCATATCTTGTCTATTGTAAACTACCGTATAGTTTTTCAAAGGCACCGATATTTAACAATAATTTAAATTTTCTTGAGAGCAGCTACCTTTTTCTCAGTGGCGTTTGTAAACTTGTCAGACTTCCCTCCACTCGTTCAACTCAAGCAAAATCTGTTGCTAGTGAAATGCCGAAGGTTGTACCTCTTTCATGGTAATAGGTACCTTACTGTTCTTGGGCATCTCTTTTGAACAATGCTTGAGAAAAAAGCATCGTGTAGCAAAAACCCACGCTGAAACAGGGTGTTTCTTTCCTTTGTGGCACCAAAAATGCATCAGGCACAAAACCCCACTATGACACTCACTCACGTTGATACTGTGAGTATCAAAACTTAAATCCAAGAGACTACTGTTTCTTTGAGGCTTCAGGATCTGTTTTTCCTTGCCTTTCTTCAGGCTTAATAATGCAATGCCACCTTCTCTTACACGAAGAGAGAGTTTTTGTAAGAAGCCTGCCCTACAGTTCTGTGTCACAGACTGCATTAGCCTCCAGGTTGGTCTTCTTTAAAGGCATCTTTGCTGAGCATGGTTGCACCAAAACCAGCAGATGTGTCTGATGGGCTTATTCGTCCAGTTCTCTGATTGTTTATGGGAGATTCACGGCAGGGAGACAGGGGGAAATACAGGTGATGATACCTCTCAGCAGGCTGAGTCCTGCTCAGGTTTTCTCCCAAGAAAACTCACAGACCTGTAGCCACTGCTGGGCTAATGCCCGGGCGCAAGTAAGGACCAAGCCAGAGCCACCAGGCTGAGGCGGTCACAAGAGGAACCGCGGCAGGCAGCCACTCTTCTGGCCATCGTGTTCGAGTACTGGCACTTTTCGTTTCTGAAAAAGCAGTTTTTTCAAAAGGAGAGTTTGCTAAGCGCCCTCCACGTTCACAGCTCATGCAGGTTACTGAATCCCATGAGGCTCGCTTCATCAACCGATTTTGCCTTATCTCAACAGACTTTTGTAATAATCCCCAAGTTCTCTTTGATACATAACTGTCATCTTCACTGCCCAGCACTGCAGAAGCTTTATACCCCAACCATGCTAACAGGAAAAAAATTCTGTCCTTTAAAAAAATCCCAACAATTTAAAGACAAGAGTGTTGTGGCGCAGTGAAGGTAAGGTTATGGCTGGGTGTAATGACACGCTGCATTTGAGCAATGGATCCCTGCTGCAATTAACAGGCAAGCTCCTCAGCAAAGCCGTGGATCTTCCTTCTGGCTTATGCCAACAGAAAATCTGATTTTAATGGAACCACAGTAATGAAACTCAAGTCTTAGATTTGCAGAGAGGAGTAAATATCAATTAATTCAGAGTTTACAGTGAGACCACTGCAAAGCTGAGACACGGAGCTACAAAAATTCCATACTCATACCTAGCTTACAAGAATGTCTTGAGACAGACTTCATTAAAGTTTGCCAGAATCTCCAAGGCCCTTCAGAGAAAGGCATTGAAGAAGGGCAAACAATTATTAAAAAAAGTGGTGATCTTTGGCTACGCACCTGCAATTTCCCATTTTACATTTCTAAACGTAGAAATGTCTGTGAGCCAACTATTCTTGCTTTCCAAAGTAGACTCATCTGGATAATCTGACACCTGGTTGCAAGTGTCACTTCACAATACTTGGCAAAGATCTAAAATAATTTTTAAAAATTACCAACTAAAGTCTTGTAAGAAGACATATCAAAGCTCAGCCAGTTTATCATGCTTTTCTTCCTGCTTAGGTTATCCCTTTAGTTTAGAGATACAGCACCTTAATATTTGTACAGTATTAAATATAATTTATCAAGAAAAGCAGTGAAGAAACTTGCATTGTTCCTGCCTATGAGAAGCAAAGTACTTTCTGAAGATCTCCTTCAGAATAAACAACCTCACTGATTTTGGAAAGGCATTGGTAAGACTGGTGGTCTAAAATTCAACATTAACAGCATGTGTAGCTAAGGAAGGTGCTCCTTGAAAAAGAGAAGGTAAAAGGTGGGTCCTAAAGATAAAGTGAATGCCTATGTTGCATTGGAGGTGAAATAGCTTTAGAAAAAGCCTTTAATTTTTTTCTGAGTCCTGGCATCCCTTTGAGCTACAAACTATTTTATGGCCTATCTTTTTAAGCAATCAGCTTACTGCAATTAATAATTTTATGGTACTCATTTTTCTGGTTCACACTGAAAAAAATATAGGGGAAACTCAAAAGTAGAGGGACCAGATCCTACAGCTCTCGTTCATCTAACAGAGTCCAGCTCTGCATTCCCTTACTAGCATCTGAAAATATTCGAATAATAGAAGGAACACACTTCTGCAGCACCAAACCCAACACATTGGTACTGTTTGAACAGAATTTGCTGTCCTGCACTAGCCTGTTTCTGAAAATAATTAGAAAATAATATTTTTAGAACATGTTCTAAAGGGAAGGGCTGTTTTCCCAAATGATCACCTGACCACTGAGAGATATGTAGAACGGCCCATGCCCACCGGCATGCATCCCATGCACAATCCTCTGGAAAGCAGAGCATACACGCAGTGGTGCAGCAAGTGCTCCCTCCTGCCCAGCTGCCCATGCAAGTCTTTCGAAAGGTGTATTAGAGTCAGAGCGATGCTTCAAAAGTCTGCTCTGTAGGGGCAGTGTGCTTATATACAACATCATTTTCTGATGTCTTTTGCCACATATCAGTTATTTCCCTTTTGTTGAGGTTGGAGCACATCCCAAGCAACACTGCGCGCTGGGGAGCGCACTCTGTTTTTCACTGGATCAAGACTTCAGCTTTAGTGGAGAAAATGAATACAATTAATTTTTTTTTTCTTTTAAGTCACTCAACACTGTGGCTAGCTGGGCATGGAGCTACCATGAAGGCAACATCTGCCCTCCCACAGCTCACCATGCAGCACTGTGCAGGCTGCCCGGCGCTTGCGGGGGTGACACGGGGAAAAGGACGCAAATCTGTCTCGTCCTGCCCGCAGTTCAACACTACCAGCTCCTGACCCAGGTGCAGGGTCCAGTCACGTGTCTGCTACGAACCCTGCTGAAATTCAACCAAATTCCACCAAAGGAAAGGAAATAACTTTGGGAAAGAAACTGGCTTTGCGGCCAGGCTGCCCCACTGGACAACCCTCGGTCTTTCTGGAAAAGAAGTTTCTCCAGGCACTGAGGGAAAGCAGAGTCATTTCACTGCCTTTCAAAGTCAAATGATAACAAAGAGGCAGGACTATCTAGGCACGAGAATGAATAACTGCAGTGGCTTTTGATCATCATGCACCTCTTTGGTCCTCCTACCAAGCTTGGTAGTGTCTCTGTGGGAGTGAACACACTGCACACTCTTCAAGCTGACGCTGAATGGGTTTGCAATGAGTAGTTCTTTCCATATAACATAAAGCCATAAGCAGAGACACAAAGGTGTGATACAAGAGAGCTGCAAGACTCTGTTTTTTTATCTTGTTCTACTGTTTTCCAGGTCTGCACAGTTATTTATGCCCAGTTACTTGCAGGGCAACAAACACGCTTATTTGGACACCTTAATTATGAAAACTTAACAGTCTGTTCAGCAGCAGCTGGAAAACATTTTGCTTAGCTTTTAATGAGGCAAACACACAGACTTCATCATGCCAGTGATGGACTGATCCAGTCCAAGTCTGTCTAATATTAGTCTGGTTTTCTTCGAAGCATATGATAAGCAAGGTACTAGTGCAACCACCACAAATCGATACCAAGCTTACCCTCTGCAAGTGAAGATGTAACTGTGTAGATGTAGACAGTACTTGGGGGATGATATTTGCATAGCAAGTTGTTGTAAAGAATGAATAAGACGGCAAACAAATCTAGAAATGAGGTATCAATTAGCCAAATGGTAGAGCAGGTAAACTAGTCAAGCCATGTTCATACTAAATTTCATCTTCTGACTCCTGATCTCGTTCAGATGTTTTCAGTAATCCCATTTCCATGGACTGGGACTGTTTAACCTTTGAACGAACTGCCCTGGAAACAACAACAGAAAAAAAAGAGTTGTCAATAGTAACTCATAGGCTCATCTGGCCATTTTTACATAGTAAAAAACTGTTTAACAACTCTTGCGTCTCATCAGGGAATTAGGATGATTGATTTATAAAGACTTGAAGTGGGCCACTGTGGAAGACATCGTAAAGAGGAGATGGTGGTTTCAAGCAGAATCTGGGCAGAATTTAACCCCAGGCCTTAACTGTAGGTATCTGTATTTTAGCATGAGTGACTTCTATACAATGCGAGCACGTACCGTGACATTAGTATGTGCTGCCTTTAACAATACCACCTGTATGTACTGCTTGTAAGAGCTTGTTCCTATGGACACATCTAAGAGCGTACACCTTAAGCAGACCTCAGCGTAACATCTAGAAAGTTCAATGTTGTGCAGGTACAGCATTGTGTGTTCATTTGGAAGAGTACTGTAAGGCTGTGAAGAAGAGTGATTCTGGCCAACCGCCCCACGGACAGGAACTCGGCGCGGCGTGCTGCGATCAACCTGGGGGGGCTTGTCTGCTGCTGCAGCAGCCGCCCTTCCCAGCATCAGAAGGGGTGTAAGATTGCTGTCACCTTCTCTGTAGTTGCCATCCTTTACACAACAAACCAGTTACGCAGCCTTGAGTGTCAGTGCCTTTTGGACTGAGATCCAAAAAGACATGGCACCTCCTCGATGCAAAGCAAGACTGCAAGAACTACATATGGCCAAAGCATGATTAAATAAGGCTGTTAGGATGCTAGGGGTAAAGGGAGGGGTGAGAAGCATGTTTAGACAGTGCAGGCAAAGGCTTGGTAAGGTCCTGCAGGCAGAAGGTGATCACACGTGGCAGAATCAGGCTCATTTTTACAACCAACTTAACTCTGCAGTTGGAATTTTGTCAGAATTGGCACTGGGTGGCAAGGAAAAGGGCTAACTTTAGAATCTAATTAGGGGATGAAACTGGCTAGTGAAAAAGAAATCAGGTCTAATCACAGCAAATTGCTAGCAATGAAACCTGTCCAATAATATGCAAAGTTAAGTAATGAAAACTGCTGACTAAGCCACTTGGAATTAGTGGAGGTGAGCACTGGGAGAGAAGATGTTGTAGGAAAAAAAGGTCTCTCCTCCTTGTAAACTTTTATGCACTTATAAATATGGAAGACTATCAAAAAGAGCTCCTTTTGTGTGAGAAGCATTATGCTGCCTGAGCTGTACTTTATGAATGTTTTTCCCCTTTCTATTGAAGCAATGAGTCATGTTGTCTTCATTGATTACCAGTATCTATTTTTATATACCTTGCAGGACAATTAATTACTCTGCGGAAACCTTTTGATTTGTCAGTGAAACTTTTCTAAAATAAAGCTCCTGCTAGACTAAATAGAAAGGTCTCCAACGTTTTAGTGTTTCAAGTAACTTACCAGCTGACGATTGTGTAATTCACTGCAAGTATAAGAAAAGCAAAGGCATAATGCCAGCAATAGCACATGGTCAGGAACATCATATTAGTATGATCTGTCTGATTCCACTCTGGGCTTCCATTTGGAGGATAAAGCACAAACCCAATCTGTAATAAAATAAAAGATATTTAGGAAATGTAATTTGACCTATGTCCTATGCCGAATCATGTATTATGCTACCCATCACAAGGCAGACATTTCATTTTCTTATAGTGCTGATTATTTCTGTGATTATTATTAAAAAAAATTTTGCAGTCACACTCAGATGCAATGGATCATTTTACACAGTTTTGTGCAGAAATGCCTTTGAAGATGCAGACCCGGTCCCAAAGACCCCCTGCTCTTGCCCAGTGAATCAAGGAGCCGGGCCGACAAGTCCTGCAGCGATCACGATTACGTACGGTAAGGAAGGGGGCTGGTGCTCAGCCGTGTATGGTCTGAACTGCAAGCACATCACCAACCAGCAAAGCTGCCCGGCCATTTGCACTGACTCGCTTCTTCCCAACAGGGTCTGGGAATGTGTTACGTGGTTCAGAAGATGAGTAATAACTTAATAAATCAAGGCAAGCCATAAGTCCATTTCTTCTGGGTCATCCGGGGAAAAGGTCAGGTTTTGAAATTACATAAAAACGGAGCTTTCTCACCCAAGGCTATAAGTTTGTGTGAAATACATAGCTGATTTGTTTATTCAGAGCTCGGAAAGATCAAATTCAGATTAATGCATAAGCTGGAAAACTAGTAATCCCATGGCTACACAGGGGTCTGCCTTGACAAGCACCAGTCCTCTGTACTGCCTAAGACTCTTCAAAGTCACTGCTCAGCAGTTTAGCTGAGAATTTAGGAGCTGGGAAGAGGAGGAGAGGAAGGAGGAGGGGAGGAGTGCATTTTGCATTTCCATGCAGAGAATTCAATGAATGAGGGTGTTGATGATACAGAAAGAAAGTCCCTTTACCTTTTACAAATTTGTCATGCTGCAGCCAGTATGTGGTTTTCAGTCACACATACGGTTGAAGTCTGATGTGGATGTGAAAAAAGCCACACTTAAATCTCTTGTATTTTTAGTTCTTCAATTTTTTGCTTTGAAACAAAAAACACATTTCCTCCAGAGCTAAAGAAATAACTTGTTCTAAAATTAGACTAGGCAGACAACAAAGAATGAATGGTTGCATCTAATTCCTCTTAGTAAAGCTTCTTAAATCACTGAAGAAAAGTTTTACAAACAAGAAAATAAACCACCAAGTGCTGTAGCACCAGGTTCTTGACTTCACTTATAGAAAAATACTGCCATTTCGGAGGTCTGTCTTCTTGCCAGAGCAAGTATTTAAATATTTGGTTTGGTGCTCAGTGTCCAGTTCTCCTAAAGAACAGCAAACATTTTTATTAATCGTGTCTGGCCAGCATATAAAAAAGGGAAGCCAGTCTAGACATGCCGGAAAGAAAAATCACTGGAGTGAGCTCGGTTCTCCACTATAAGATGAAACACACATCGGCACTAGTGCTCCTATTTCTTTGTTACAATATCGCAGCAGTTCATTAAATTCTCTCCCTTGTTTGACAGCAGAGAAAGGGTTGCTATCAAATATCTATTAATGGGATAGAATCGTAAGTAAGTGAAGACATGGCAGCTACATTTTGAAGAGTCCTTTTGGGAGCCACATCCCTGAAATACAAAAGTTTGGGCTGTTCCTTCTTCTGCTCAATTTCCCAAACACTGGAAGAGCAGGAGGCTTTACATCACTCAATCTCTTAATGCGAATCGGGAGCTCAAATACCTTTTAAACCTCGGTTGCCGCCGTTGAAATGCTTTTTAGAAAGTAGAAAGAGGCAGCCAACATGAAAGATAATTTGCGCCTTCGTTCTTCTTCACCCAATGTCAATGGGTGCTTTGCCTCAGCTCTCCAGTACGCCGCTGGGCATTTACTCACTGCTCCGGCAGCTGAGAGTGGGACTCTCTTCGTAAAGAGCAGCATATATTGCCGGGCTGTAAAATCACTGCCATTTGGCTGGCGAATTTTGAACAGGATGTTGCAGAGTTCAGAGGGGATGTTCAGTCGCAAGGAAGAGCTCAACAAAACCACCTTAGCTTTTTTATTCATTCAAATAAAAGACACTAGAAGTAAAATGGCTTCTGTCTGTAAAACAGATACGATAAATACTTCTATCTCTTTAAAGGGACATTAAGAGTGCATTGTTTTCTGTCAGTCCTTTGAGGTCTGTGTTTAAAAGGCATATTATATCACCTGTGAAACATCTGCAAAGGGGTAAATTACTAATTTTGGTGAAGGAAGAAATTTCTAAGGCAGGAAAGTGACCTACCTGCCAGAACCAGCTGCCTTGTAATATGCAGAGGCTTGTACGGAGCATCTCTAGCACAATACTGCCACGGAAGAAAACTTCCAGAAATGTACAAACAGCAGCTCCAAAGATAGCAAACAGCAATAACTGATGAACATGAACATCCAGCACGGCTCTCCCATGAAGATGGTAGCAAAAGAGAAAACCTGGAATAAATTAAGTGATCGGTTTAAGATACTTTCTTCCCTTGTAATCTCCCTGCATCTGCTTTTAGAAAACAGTGAACCTTTAGCGTTTCTCTTTATGCCAGTATCACCTTCTCAGGTGAACTGAGAGTAATTTTTTGAGACTGATGCCTACGTACTGCGTGCTCCCACTCTAGAGCTCGGACCAGGAAATTGCATGGGAAGCTGCAGCTCTGTCACCTTTCCCTTAAAACACATTAACAAAAAGTCTCATTCATCTGTCTCCGCAGTGTAACAAGAGGGATGCTATGAAATATACTGTGCATACAGAAAACATAAATTGAATGTGTCTCCAGTGCAATTCCAACATGCGATTGCTGTACAGGTAAATGCACTCACACCGGCTTTAGCTACAAGTTGCGTACCATGTCAGTATGTACATTGAAGCACGTGCCCGAGCTACTGAGCACTTACCCAAAACAGGCTCATGCTGCTATTTTCATAACATTTCTGTTGCTATCTGAGCCAGTTAGGAAAGCACAGGTACACCTCTACCATGCATGGTCATGCTCTGGGCTGCAGCGCAGACAAACCCTCAGCAGTTTAAGGAGGGCCAAGACTGATCTTTTTTAAGCGTTTCAGGGAGTTAAACGCCCAGCTCCCGTAGGCTCATTCTCTGAGGCTGATTTGAGATTCCCAGACCAACGACTGATTCCCCTCTGCAAGTTTCACACGCACCTCTGCAGGGAGAGGGAGACTGACCTTCAATAAACACTGCTAAGGAAAGCATCATCCTGTCCGTGGCCACTGGCAATGCGTTGGTCCCGTGAGCCACAATGTCAACCAACCCTGAGATGCCATAGAAGAGGTACATGGTGGCATGCTGCCAGTTCATCAAGTGATCCCAGTGCTTTTCCTCATAATTATACAACTTCAGATGAGGTCCATCGGGAACAAACTGCTCGGCCACCATTCCTGCGCATGAAACGAGAAATATGACTATTTGTCCTGGTGCTTAAAGTATAGACTGATGATAAGTCTTTATACAAACAATAGAGGCAACAATATATCCCCGCACAGCATAATGCCAGTCAATTTGGAGTTTAGTCTGGCTGCCTGAGGATTGCTCTGGGCGATGGCTATGTTTTGCTCCCTTCTGCCCAGTTCAGCCCTTCCCAATAAAGTTTTTAACATGTTGTCCAAATTCGAGTGAAAGTGCACAGAAGCCTCAAAGATATTCGTTTTAAATAAATTTTCAAGAAAATAGGCAGTGCGTGGAGGACAGATGAAGTAAGTTGCTTTGCCGAGGGAAAGACCACAGAGTGAGCTCAAGCATATATTAAGCATCACATAATCTGAAAAGGAGAAAGCCAGGGGAAACCAGGCTTCAGCTTCACTCCTGGTGGGACTATTTGCATCTTGCAGTTTCCAGCAGTGAAAATGGAGACAGCTATTCTATGCTGCTTTTTTTAAAAAACAATTGCTATTGTAGTAGTCCTCTGCCTGAATTTTTCAGCTGCCTTTCCCAGTGGTTCAAACATGAGTATAACACATGCTAAAGTCCCCAAAAGAAAGATTTACCATTTTGGTCCCCTGCAAAATGCAGGATGGCAGAGTTCAGACTCTTAATTCAAAGGGCATTTTTCCTAAAAAGCCATAAAAGGAAATCCCTGCACCGTACAGAGTTATTAAAGGTCCCATGAGAATGTATACCGAGTTAGTATTTGAATTGCTGCTCCATCGCCTCCCTTACCTTGGCCCCTCGGTGTCTTGCTAACTAGCTACAGTATTCCAGCAAGGGGAAAGCTGCTTTTAGATACTTTATATGATCCGTGAAGTTTGGGAAGGGTTTAAGAGACGTTATGCTTTTAAAACTTTAACGTTAATTATATTGTTTATAAAGCATGGGCCAGCATCCTGCTGTATAAGTAGATATGCTGCAGAGCAAATGCAGTGTTTTTCCACCTTTATTTCAAGTTTTCCTAACACAGAAACAGCAGGTTTTACTCCTTCTGCTGCTTTTACTGTTTGTCCTTGCCAGGCTTTCTTGTCCATGTTTTTGACTGGAATTGAAATTACCATACGTTAAAATAATAGCTTTTTGTTTCAGGGTGAAAATAAAAACACTAGATGAGTGGTTTAGCTGCCCAACAAACTCCAGACACTGACTGGGAGATTTGTAGGAAAGATGTCCCCACTCACACCTCAAAATGAATGCTATTATTTAGGTTTTGATAATTTTTTAAGACATATCAAAGTGTATACTGTACACACAACATCACTTCAGTGCTGATGTATCTTAACTGAGAACAACTCCCAGAGGGGAAGGAAAAGCAAGAACAAGGTTTTGGCACAGCCTGCACCTTGGTTAGAAACCAGGCTACTCTGAGCATCTAAAGAAGAGTAGATAGATAGAATCTAAAAATCTAAAAATCCTGAAAATTAAGATCCTTTTCAACTTGAGCGCCACATGTGCTCAGCTCCCCAGGTCCCCTGTTATTTAGCTTACTTACTCTGTAAAGGTAAATTGCTAATATACAGCCTGCTGGAATGTAAACAAGAACTAGGCACTTCTAGTCGGCTGCACAGCTCACTAAACCATCCCCGTGCGTTTGCACCCAGGCCAGTCCACAACAGAAGGAGAAACAGCCCTCCACCCCCACCCCCTCGCAACAGTCCTGCAGCAATAAGATCCGGAGTTCAGTCTTTCTTTGTGAGTATTTTCACTTTTGAATGACGTGAATGAAGAAGCATCTGCATTTACATATTTTATCAATAACTCAGTGGAGACTACCGACATCTGAGGTGGCTGGATTCAAAATAGAAAAGCAACGCCCCCGGAGTCTGGTGCTCCCAGTCTGCATCAGAGAGCCCCTTGCCTAAATATCTTATCTCCCTCCCTGAAGTAGTGAACAGCATATGAACACTCAGCTGGACCAGCCATGAGTTAGTCAGGAGACGTTAAAGAAGCTCCAGAAGAGCGCTATGGATGGAAACCACGTTACAGTTGTAACTATGTGATTAATAGCAGTAGCCCCACTAGTTGTTAGATTCATGGTGTTTAAAGGACAAAATACCAAAACACAATGAGATATGTTTTATCAGAGAACAAAATCTAAAAAAAACAGGTGCTGAAAGGCACAGCCTTTTTGTTGTCTGCCGCAAGTCCCCCTCACTTACCAATCAGGGCAAAGACAGCTTTGATGATCCCCTCAACAAACTCCAGGCGCTGAAATCCTGCCCTGGAACCAAGGTAGCAAGCGTTCTTGTTTTTTCGACAGGCGTACTTCAGTGGGTACTTCACTGACCACCACAAGCCAAAAAGAAGGAAAAAGCTTCCAGGGAGGGCATGCCCTTTGAAATTGCCCATGGTTTTCTGCTAGGAGATACCTGAAGGTGAAGCAAATGCAGATCGATTATGGGAATAGTAGGGGAATTCTCTGGGTATAATTTTAAAGTATCTCCTTTCACAGATCAAAAGGGTGTCACTGAATTGAGTACTCACGCTTTATTTAAAAATAAATTTAGGTACTTATCTTCCCTGGCTATTCAAAACACCCAACCAGTCTCCCCAGTTTCATAGCTTTGCAGAACAAGAGTAAGAGACCCAACTGCAAAGCAGCTGACCCGAAATGCAAAGCTGGCAGTTGGCAAGTTAAGAGAAAAAAAGCCATAGTACACTATGTCGTGCTGTTGAAGTTGTACTAACAAAAGAGAGAACATGAATATTCATAATTTGGTTCTTTCACCTTTAGAGAGGGTTTTATGTTTCTTTACTCCACAAACAGAAATCAAGACAATACCTGACTGAAGGAAAAATTAATTGTATACAGATCCGTTGGGTAACTATTCATTAATAAATTGTATTTTGTATTTCAATCCGGATGTCTCGTTACGATTTACAAGCCTTAAGTCATTCTCAGTATTTGATAGGTGAATTATGCACCCACAACTAGATACATATTATGAAGTACATCGAGTGCACTGAGTGATAAGGTTATTAGTTGGTCAGTGTTATACAGCCATTTAAAAGCAGTGCCATTAATAAAACCGAGTAATTCCGGTCATCATCCCAACTTTTAGGAGAGTTAACTTAGCTTCTTCATTAAAATGACAGTTCTAACATTAAATTGCAATTTTTCTTTACGTTATTATAAACTGAGTTGTTGTGCATTGTGACCCAAAGGCACGCTAAATCTTTGCACAGGCAACAATCAAGAATAACCACTTTAGAAGCATTGGCAATCTGTACTTTCTGTTATTATCGTTGGTGACTTAAAAATCCGATCACCAAACTACACTGGAGCCATCTGGTTATGAATAGAACATGGAGGCTCTGGTATATTTTTCTTTTCAGTAAGTATTTCCTATGGTCAGCTCTGCATAAGAAGTTTTAAACTGTGGCTTGTGGGCCATGGAGTACTTGCAGATGGTTCACGTAATGCTGTTTAGTCAAGTAGCGTGAGCCCTCTCCTATTTCTGGAGGCTAAACTCCACTGAAAACATTAATTTTTTTTTTTTTGGGGGGGGAAGAGAAACTTTTCCACATGCACAGGTCCTGAAGCTGCCATAAGACTATTACCCAACTGCATGAGGAGAGGTGACCTATATAGCCACAAAGGAGAAGAAAAAAAATAACGACTGTTATGTGTAGCACGAGGCAGGCTGTGATTTGAACAGGGATGCTGAAGAGGGTCCTGCCCCCGCTGCCGTAGGGCTCGGTGCAGCAATACTTCCCTAGAAATTAGCTAAGTACAAGAAAAGGGAAACGTGATACTGGTTGCCCAAGCAAGCCCATTTCTGGATGTGTCCTCGCAGGTATTGCCAGTGCTGGCATCTGCATATGGAAGCCTGGAAGGAAAGCGTGCCGAGGGGGCTGCACCAAGCCCGGGGAAGGCTCCCGGGGAAGCAGCGCCTGCCAGCCGTGGGGCAGCCAAAGGGGGAATGAGGGACAAGTTTACGTATTCTTATGAAACGTAAAGGACTCCATTTGGGATTTCTGCTGTGTGGGGAAGGGCTCCTGCATGCCACTTGTCTCCCGTCAAGAAGAAAAGCAAGGGTGCCATGCCTGGAGCTGTTGTGGGGGGGCTTTGCCTCAGATCAGAGCAGCCAAAGCCGAGAGGAGGAGCGAGCGGCGGCAGACCCGGCAGGCAGCTTTCAGCACAGGCACCCCAGCCACCAGGATGGTGATGACCACCTCCATCTCCGCTCACAAAATACTGAATTAAGCGCTAAACCTCCCTGGGGCTGAGCACGTGTTAGTGGTGCCAAATCAGCCTGCTTGTGAGCTGAGCATCTCCAATCCTGGCCCAGGGTGGGCTGGGCAGGGCAGGAGGAGGAGATGGCAGCCGAGGGTCCAAGGGTCGGGAGAGCCTTTCTCTGCCTCCTCTGCCTCCCACACCACCCTTAAAGTCCTGCTGGGTTGATGCCTGTGTTTTATTTGCAGGTGGGGAAAGCACTGCTCACTCTCCAGCAGCCTACAGCGCAGTCGGGCTCTCAGTGGTGCAGTTGGGGGGCTCAGCCCCACAGGTTAGACCCAGCCCCCACAGTCTCGCAGAAGAGGTACCTCGTTTCGGGACATCTTTAGTTCAAAGAGTCTGACCAGCTTGTGCATCACTGCCAGTACTCACTGCGCCATTGTTTGCCTCAAAAAAGGACGGTATTAACAGGAGCTGAAGTTTTAGACAATCGCCTAAACTCTGCTTTAAACTTTGAAATACTGCTTTTGCTTTGAAAGCCTTAATTTTTGGCTCTTCTAAAACTTGGTGGCCTGAAAGCATTGCTGTCTTTTCAGACACATTGGGTTTTTTCCTTCTTTGAATGAAAGGAAGAGGGGAGGAGTGGGGAGTGGCCTTTCCTCGCCATGTGTCTGATCTCACTGAACACCATTCATTAGAAAGACTTTATTCATTAGGTATTTTATTATTCACCACAAGTGCATAGCACTCCAAATGGAAAGATTTACCCTGTACCCCACATCAAAGTGAGATATTGGATTAAAAAGGTAAATTAAACCTCTGAAAAGCCTTCCTGTAGGAGAGTACAGCCAGAGTAGGAGTCAAATGAAGAACAGTGTGTTAATGTCATTTGTAGTGCACGGTATACAAAACTTCAAATGTAATTCTCAATCTATAAATTCCCACCTGGGTTATCTAGAGCTCCAATCACTGCAGGATTTTTCTGCCCTACATCTGGGTAATCCATCAAGATACTCTGTTAAAACTATTTTTTGCCTTTCAAAACAAGGGAAAAAAAGAAAAAGAAGAGACTGGTACAGCAGCCACTGCTGCATATCCAATATAAACAAAAGAGAACCAGAAAAATTGATTTTTTTGCTATAAGCAATACAATCACATATTATTAGCTTTAGAGAGTATAAACTTCAGTTTTACTTCATCCAACGATGTTGGGGATTATTTGTAGGATTTGACTAGAAAGAGACGCGTCAGATCTGCCAGCCAGCTGTTGTGGCAGACCTTTGGAACACTGAATCCCAACACAGTCAGCTTCAGAAAGGAGTCATATGAACTACACTTTAAATCCTTAGTAAACCTGAAAACATCATGACAGAGCTCACCTTAAACCAATTAAACTTCCCAATTCATGAATTTTCTCTTATCAGGCCTGAGAGTTTATTTCGGCAAGGCTAGAAGTCAACTGCCACCACCCACGGTTTTGATGTGACTGAGAAGTTTTGCCTGCAAGTAAACCAGGTGATATCGCATGGTTTGGGGGCTTAGGATGACTCTGAGGACACGGCGAGGATAAGCGGGGCCTCCCCTGCGGGAAGATCACCGCAGGGTCAGGAGGTGGGTCTGGGAGGTGTGAGGCAGGGGTGCAACGGGAGGTGAAAGGAGAGGAGGACAGGATGGCAGGCTGCTGCCTTTCCGCGCTGTGCTTTGGCATCCCCCTGAGCAGCCCAGGACAAAGCAGCTCCTGCTAGCTCTTCTGCACAGCTTGGGAGCCAGCCAGTTTTGCTATCTCCAGTGCTATTTATTGGATAAGGATGGCATCAGTGTGTTATGACAGTACTTAATAAATTTGAGCGTTTATTTTTTACAGAGCCTTATCCCATATGCTAGCAAACAAATCACTGGAGGACTGATGTTGCAAAATGTGCAAATCCCAGACCCTCTTTTATCCTCGGTGATTTCAGGGCCAGGGGTGCTGGTAGAGCCACAGCCACGTTCTCGGCAGCAAACCTGCCTTACTGCCCACCACCTTCCCTAGAGCGCATCATCTGCCAGAGATGCAAGCAGAGAAAATCCTGAGGCTGCCCCACAGCTGGGTGCCGTGAGGTCTGCGTTCGACCATGCGGGGTCTGCCCACGCTCCCTCCGCTGCCTCCCAAAGCCACCCAGCCACACCAGGAGCTGCATGCGTACCTGCAGCTGCTGACCTGCCCGCACAACCTCAACCCTGCCCAAATCCTGCTCCTAACCCCACCAGGCAGAGCCAGCAGTGCTGGTGCCTACAAGAGGTACGCAGACAGCCAGCATCAGCTGGCCACAACCCTCGCCATGGATGACAGGCTTTCCAGCGAGCGTACGCAGACTCCCTGACCATTGCTGATCGAATCGCCCCTGTTGCCTGCTGTGTGCACCCCCAGGATCCCTGCAGGCTCACTCAGCTTTTCATGTCTCCACCCTGAAGCATCACCATCCAGGACCCTTCCACCACCGCTAGTAGCCATGGGGCCGCAGCAGCCAGGGCACCAGCAAATTTTGGACCCTGGCAAAGCAAATTTTGGACTCTACCTGGGGGATGCTCTCTCCCCGCCGACCAGCAGGGCTGCCACCCCGAGGAGCGTGCCCAGGAACCAGACAAGGCGCATGCTCCAGCCCAGGTTCGGGCTTTCCACAGTAAGTACTCCTTGAAACCTCGCTCTTGGGAGGGTGTGGGGCACGCCAGGAGGGGAGGCTGCTGTCAGGGTTCAAGGGCACCCATGGGCCTTAATTGCCCCAACCAGCCTCACCCAGGATCCCCACCCCGGCACCGTTGCCTAGGGGCCCGTGGTCACAGGAGAACTGGAGAAAAAGTTAATTAGGCATAATTATGGCAATAAACTCAATTGTCGAGGTAGTTTATAAATTTTAAGTACAAGGCAACGTTTCTGCAGCTGATTAGAATAAGGAACGAGAATAATTTTCTGTGATTTCTGATTCTGTAATTTCACCTGTGAATGTGAGATGCTTTTTTTTTCACGTGAGAACTCCAAGCATGGTTTTTCTTGCAACAATCACAGAAAGCTCTGCATGACTCAGGCTTTTCCAGCAATTAGAAAGCTGCATAGTATTGCAAAAGTGTTTTGCACTCAAACTTTGCTGACCAAATACAGGTTGTTGATGGTTGCCCACAAATTCCCTACGTAGCAGTAATGCTCTGTGTACCTG